AGTTAGAATTGTTACAGGGGACATGGGACCCCCTTTCTGGATTCTAAGCCTCATTTCATTTAAAAAAAAAAAAAGAATGGGTGCAAACTGAAGTTTGGGACAATTTTATTAGCATTTAAAATAAAAAAAAAAAAAAAAAAGGCCAAATGTGGTTCATGCCTATAATCTCAGCTCAAGAGAGGCAGACAGGTAGATCCTTGGCCCTCACTGGCCAGACAGCTAGCCCACTTGGTAAGTTCCAGGCCAGAGACCCTGTCTCAGAAAGATTGATGGCTCCTGAGGAATGATACCCGAGGTTGTCTTCTGTATACATGTGTACACACAAACAAAAGTAAAAACATGTCTGTGCCAAGACATCATTGGTTACAAATTTGAGTTCAGTGGGACAGAATGTCCCCATGTGCAGACAGGCAGTGACTCATAGAGGCCTGAAATTCATTGTGAGCTAGCCTCCCAAGAGTCAGGAAAGTGGCCAGGACTGGAAGGAATCTTGCCTAACCTGGCCATACTTCCACCACAGCTGAGGGTCCCCTGAAAACACACACCCTGTGTATGGCAAAATGATACACTGGGCTAAGGAAGTAAAGGGCACTTACTAGAAAAGGCTGAAACAGGCTGAACTGTTCTGGCTAGCCTCTTATTATGACAGGATGTTTCGTTCTCAGTACATTCTAGTTATTCTTTTTTGTAAATTACATTTATTGTGTGTGGGCACACTATGGTACACGTGGTCAGAGAACAACTATTGAGAGTCGGTTCTCTCCTTCAACTATGTGGGTCTAGGGATAAAACTTGGCTTGTCAGTCTTGGTGGCAAGTTCCCTTACCCAGTGAGTCATCTTGCTAGACCCATCCTAGTTATTTTTGAGCACCACAAATGAAGAGAACTGTCCTTCCACATGTTCATAAATATTTATACACTAGAAGTAATGCCTGTCAGTGTATAAGTTCATACAGTGAAATACTACTCAGGTAGTAAAGGATTGAACTACAGATACTTCCATAGTACATCAAACAGATGAATCTAAAAAACATTCTCAGAAAAAAACAGGAAAAACTAAAATCACATTACTATAGATTTCAGTTAACTAGGAAGTAGAAATTTATTGTACGGTGACTGCTTATGATGGAAGACACTGACTTTAAGGGAATGCCAGAACTTTAGGGGGAAACCAATGTTCTGTAGCTTGTTCTTACAAGAATATAAAAATTTGCCAAAATTCATCAAACTATACAAGAGCATATTTTGTAGGCCACAGATTATGCCTTAACAAATTTGATTTTAAAATGCATTTAAAAAGTTGTTTCAGTTTACAGTAGCTTACCTGAAACCATCAGAAGCTCGCAGCAACTCACATGTTCAGCAGGTAAATTGATAAACTGTCACATCCACACAAAGAGATACAATTTAGTAGTAAAAAATACCAACTATTGCAATATCCTTTGATGGGGATGATCTCAATGATGTTGAATAAAAGCAGCCAGACACAAGAAGAGATCACACTATGACTCTGTTTGCACGAAACCATGATGACAACAGATCATTTGTTTGGATTCAGGGTCAGGGTGGGAAGGAGGCATGAGGCACCTGGAATAATACATTCTATTTTGATTGTAGCTTCATGGATTTATTCATGTGCAGATATATCTAAATAATTTCAAACATATATAGTGTATCAATGCTAACTCTAAAATCATTAATTTTAAAAACATTTTTAAGTTCTATGTATATGAGTGTTATGCCTGCATGTAAGTGCACCTGTGCTCTGCAGTGTCTGTTGAAGTCAGGTCCCCTGGAACTGGAGTTACAGTTATTAGCTGCCATGTGGGTGCTGGGATTTGAACCTGGGTCCTCTGCAAGAGCTCTTAACTGCTGAGCTATCGCTCCAGCCCCGAAAAAAACATTTTTAAAGACACAGTGAGGCCGGTATTAGGTGGATCCCTGGGGGCTCATTGACCAGCCAGCTTACTCAAGCAAGCTGTAGGCTAATGACAGACTCTGTCTTAGTGCCTCCTGAAGAATGAATACAAGGCTGTCCCTTGACCTACACACACACACACACACACACACACACACACACACACACACACACATACACACACACACTGAAAATACTAAATGCAGATGAAGATGTAATTAAAACACTCATATCTGGTTGGAAAATGCAACACAGTACAACCATTTGGAAAAGCTTGGCAGTTTATTATAAAGTTAAACATGGCAGTAATCCCACTCCAAGGGAAGTAAAAGATGTTCACATGAAACTATACAACAACAAAAAATATTTATGGCAGCTCTGTTAAAAATTTGAAAACTATAGACAAATACCTTTTAACTTGTCAATGGATAAGCAAAGTCTAAGATAGCCATACAATGGAATAGGAACTCAGGAACAAAAGGAAGAATGGTGGATCCACTTAGTAAGCATGGATAATCCCAAAGCAGTACACTAAAATGAAAGACCCATCCAGAAGTCTATACACCAATTCCACCGAGATGACATTCCAGAAAAGGCAAAGCAGTAGAAGCAGAGACAAACTCGATTGGCAGTTGCCAGGGACTGGATTGGTGGGATTAGCTGCATAGTGTGAGGGAAACTTTTTCAGTAGGTTGTTGGGGGAGGGGGATGGACTTTTATATTCCAGTTGTAGTGGTGGTGGTTACAAGCCTGTATGTATATCAAAACTCACAGAACCCTATACTAAAAAGTACTGCATTTTAGTGGTTTTTCTAAAGAAAGTCATCTCAGAGATGATGATTCCTTTTTCTACAGCTGCAGGGGAGATCATTATGCATCACAGGCAAGCTGGTTCAAAAGAGCTTGACACATGCTAAATGAGAGCTTTCATATCAACACTATTCTCCATGGGATAGACTTGAATATTCATAACTGTTACTATGTGTTAAAATGAATACAATTCTAACCCAGAATCCATATCATGCAAATATAATACCCCACATGAAACTTTAAATTTTTAAAAATTATTTTTATTTATGTGTATGCGTGTGTTGCCTGCATGTAGATAAGTGCACCCGTGTCATGCAATTCCTGCAGAGGGCAGAAGAGTCTGTCGGATACCCTGGAACTGGAGTTATGGACAGTTGTTAGCTGCCATGTGGGTGCTGGGATTCGAACCTGGGTCTTGTGCAAGAACAGCCAGCGTTCTTAATGCTGAGCCATCGCTCCAGCCCCGAAACCTTAATGCTTTTCAAATTTATTATCTTTATTTTATGTGTATGAGTGTATTGCCTCCATATATGTATGTGCAAATGCCTGTGGAGGTCAGAAGAGGATGGTGAATCTCCTGGAACTGGAGTTACAGACAGTTGTTAGCTACCATGTGGGTGCTAGGAACAAAACCCAGGTCTTCTCTAAGAGCAGTCAGTGCTCTTAACTGCTGAGCCATCTCTCCAGCCCCCAAACCTTAATTCTTGATAAATTATTACCATAGATGTTACTGACATTTGTGTTCTCAAAAGATGTGCTTGTAGAATTCCAACATCAAATCAGTGGGAAAGATTCATCAGGTACATATCACTCCTATATGTGGATGAACAATTAAGAGGCCATGACTGCCAGATATTAAAAATACCTGAGGTCTTCTAGAGAGCAAGGATTAACACACTAGCATTTTATCTGATGCCAGTAGACAGGTAGAAACAGAGTGGTGAGGAGGAGGAAAGAGTACCTGAAATAAGGAACAACACAAAGCTGTGTAATGCAAGGTGTTACCTCTCAGGTTTTAGTGAGCCAAGACATGCAGGCTGCCTGACATGGTGTTCACTTAGTCTGGACTTTGTCTGGAGGGCTCACTAAATAAAACCATGAGTATCAGCAGCAGGAAACAGGAAGGGGCATCAGTTGCCAGGCCCCTGCTGGGATTCCCAGAGTTCTAGATCACTGCCTTACCCTCTGGCAGCAACTCATGCCAGATCCTATTACCTACTGTATAGCATTCCCTTTAACATGTCTTAGTTTGAAGATCTTAGATTGCTGGCAAAGGCAAAACAGAGTGTGGCCCTAGTGGGGGGGGGGAGGTTACTGTCACACAGGATGGGGATCAGGGACTCTCATGTGGTGTGGTGGCACAGAACCTGAAGCAGCATGATCTATAAACTCAATAATGGCAAAATGTTCTGTGTAGAAAAAGGGATCATTCATTGTGGGGTGGGTTGGGAGAGAAGACTTTACAAAGGTGTTATTCATACAGTGAGAATGACTGGCTCAGAGACCACAGGTAGGACAACAGTCAAAGGAACAACTCAGACCCAAAAGACAAGAGTGACATAAATTTATATGGGCCAATATACCCATGAAATGGCTGGTATACAGACATGAAGCAGGACATAGTAAAGACTTTGAAAAGTCAGCTTGCTATAAGATACAGTAAGCATTGACAGGGAGAAGGAAAGGGACATCAATGAGCTTGTTTTCAATTCTGGGAAGCTGTTAGCTTCCACGGGAAGGAGGTTCAGATAGGATCCTACATAGGGCCTCTCTCTATAGTGTATTATAGCCATGTTGTGACAGCGTAATCAATGGCCTTCCCTCTCGGATAAACTGTGTAACAATCATGCTTATCAAACTGAGGACAAACTCCCCCAAACAATTTATTTGGCAATTAGATTCTCAATATACTGGCTCTGAGGCCTGGATTTCTAGCCTGGAATAAACCAAACCTCACTAAAATGGCAGTAAAGGAATTTTTAAAGATGCAAATGCAAACGGGGGTGGGGGGTGACAGATGAGAGTCAGCAACAAAGTTTTCAAATAAAAAAAAACGATGTTGAGAACATAAAAAATATAATACATCCAACTAGAAAAAGAGCTAGCTGTAGGAAATTAAGTATTTCCTACATGAGCTGGGCATGAGGACATCCCCTGTCGTCCTACTTGCTCAGGAGACTGAAATAGGAGGGTTACTTGAGCCCTAGCCCTGGAGCTCAAGACAGCCTGGGCAACATACTGAGACCCTGCCTCTATTAAAAAGAAAAAAAGGACAGAAAATATTTCTACATGTCTTATATATTATATAAGATACTGATTTCTAATCGCTCAGAAGGGGGCTGGAGATATAGATCAATGGCAGAGTGCATGCCTAACATCACAAGACCCTGTGTACCATCCCAGTCCCACAGCAATATATATGCAGAAGAAAAAATACTAGGAAAAAATTAATAGAAAATAAGAGAGAAAAACTATAATTAGAGATACATTTCAGAAAATCCAATATTCAACTACAATTTTCCCTAAATGACAACAGCATTAAATGGAAATTTCTTACCACTTACCAGATTTAAAGGGTTCACTTTGTATATAGCATTGTGGATAAAAAATATATTACGACCTCTGAGACAAGGATGACAAGAATGCTAAGAATTCAAGAAAAAATTACAGGTTACAAACAAAAGCTTTGCAATCAGAACTCCACAGAATTAACAGCCAACAGTAAAATCCAGAATAGTATGAATAGATACGTTAAAAAGTGCCCACCTGAAACTCTACTACTAATCAAACCATAGGTGCAGAGAGTCAAACTCATTTCCATGATTCAGCTGTTCAAAAAATTTACATTTAGCCGGGTGTGGTGGTGTACTTTTAGTCCCAGTACTTGGGAGGCAGAGGCAGGCAGATCTCTGTGAGTTCGAGGTCAGCCTGGTCTCCATAGTGAATCCAGGCCAGCTGTGGCTACAGAAAGATCCTGTCTCAAAATCACCAAAAAAAAAAAATTTTTTACATTAAAAAATTTATCTTGCTGACCCTTACAAAGCTAATGAAGGACATAACCCACCAAATGGGGAAATAAAATGGTGAAAGCAGCAGCCACAGAATCTACAGAATCTAGGAGACACAAGAGACGCCTATGAAATGAACAAGGTGAGGAAGAGAAAGCCCAGGACAAGAGCCAGACCCCAGGTCTAGTGAACAGCCAGTGTGCCTTTGACCTGAGTTGTGTTCCCCCAAATTCCTATGTTAATGTTCTAAGTTCCAGGATCTGAAAATGTGAGGCAAACACATTAAAATAAGGTCTCTTGGGCGAGCCCCAATCCAATGACTGCCAAAGGCATAGCTTAGTAGTACAGCATCTGATCCTCTCTCAGCACCAACAAAAAAGGAAAAAAAAGAAAAAGAAGAAAAAAAGAGCTACATTGACATGGAAGACCATATAAAGACAGTGAAGTACAAGTCGTGCAAAATCCAACCCTGCTGACCCCCTCATCTTCCCAGCCTCTAGAACTATGAGAAAATAGAAAATTCTCATAATCACACCATCCAGTCTGTGATGCTCCATTATAACAGCCCTAGCCAATGAATTCAGCACCTAAAATGAACAGATTAGGAGGCTCCAGAAGAGGATTCAAACCAAAAGGATGTATCACCCATAGTGAGACATTTTATGCTATTGGAGATATGGAGGAGAAATTAGCATAAGAGAAAAGAACTAAAAAAATAGGCAAAATGTGAAAAGGGGCACAGGAAGAAAACACAACCATGGAACACTATGGCTGATGAAGACCGTCCACTTAGTAACAAGTACTTCATCAAAAGTTAGAAATCAGATATGGTGCAGTATAGTGTGGTGTGGTATGGGGTGGTGTGGTACAGTGTGATATGGGGTTGGGTAGTGTAGGTAAATAGAGAGCTAAAGTCCTTATCTGCCAAAGAAGAATTCATCAACCAACAAATTGAAAAATGAAGAAATGGCAATCGATAAGCATACTTCTTAAATAACAGAGGAAATACATAAGACAGAGAAGAAATACTTAAGGTGGCTGCCTTTGAGAAATGACAGTCATGGGGAGCACAGAGCACCTTTTTACATGGTAATCCCAGAAAAGCTACTTGAAAAAGTATTCATGTGTGTTTTTAAATGGCAACACATAATTTTAAATATTTTTTAAAAATTTTATATAATGTGCATGCGTGTATTGCCTGCATGTGGGTTAAGTGCACCCCCGTCAATGCAATGCCTGTGGAGGACAGAAGAGGCTGTTGGATCCCCTAGAACTGGAGTTAACGGACAGTTGTTAGCTGCCATGTGGGTGCTAGGATTCAAACCCAGATCTTCTGCAAGAACAACCAGCGTTCTTAACCACTGAGCCATCTCTCCAGCCCCCAAAATACAATTTTAAAAGCCTTAGCCGGGTGTGGTGGCGCACGCCTGTAGTCCCAGCACTTGGGAGGCAGAGGCAGGCGGATCTCTGTGAGTTCAAGGCCAGCCTGGTCTACATAGTGAGTTCCAGGACAGCTGGGGCTACAGGGAGACCCTGCTTCAAAAAGACAAAAATAAATAAACAAATAAAAGCCTACATAGACCATTAGAATTTCTTTTAAAAAGGAAGCTACTGCTTCCTTTCACTAGAGGCCTTTTAACGGTGTGGAAGCCATCTGACAAGAGCCAGACCAGCATATGCAAGAATATCAGAGTCACTAGATATCCAATGGTAAACATGGTTTTTAACAAGGCCGTGTTGATAACAAAAGTGGGGAGAAATAGGACAAGGATCAGAAATAAGTTTTGAAAGTGGCAGAGCTTATGTGATGGCCCTCTGTTGGCAGTGTCCTCAGAAGCTGCTGTCAGGATGTTGTTTACATCTGTGAGATGGCTGAACTTTTGTTCCTACCCCTGCTCTTTTCCTTTTTTGCCTCACAACTGTCTGCTCCAGTTTCTTCCAATATGAACCTTTATAGTACATCCTGGAGAAGTCTGCAGGAGGAGCCTTATAGCAAGAAGGACCTTTGTATCTCCATTAAATGTGGTGAACTGAAAACTTTAGGAGCCATCACTTGGCTGTACAGCAACTTGACTGAGCAAATTAGCCAGAGGCAAGGAGAACAGATGAATTACAAGTACTTCCTGAAAGGCCAGCTGCACGTTTGCATATGAGAGAGAAGAGAAACTATCCTGTGTAGCATCAATGATACAAATCCTCAAAATCAGAGGCTTTAAAATTGAAGCCACGTTTGCCCAAGTGTTCACCAAACAATCGCTGAGGTTTACTACATGTCATGATAATGAGTCACTTCCTGAGTAAGCTGAAGTAATTAGCACCCTTCCAAGCAGCCTGTTGTATGTTCCAGAGAAAGAGCACCATTCCAGTATGGGAAGCAACTGAGAGAGATCCTGGACCACAAAGTTCAATAAAGGAGCAATAACATCCTCAAGTCTTCCCATAAATCCTAGGATTAATGGTTATGTCCTAATCTGTTTAACCTTTAAAAATCTAAAGATATCGTCAAGCCTTCTGGACAAGTTCTACCTGTTGGTGACAGTTACCCTCCCAGGTAAATAACTTAATTAACTAGCACTCTGGTTTATCAGTCAGATTACTCCTGTGTGACCTGGCAATCAATACCTAACATTTTACATGTCCACTCATTAGATGGCTTCTGGCAGTTCAGTGAAAAGAAGTTGGTCATATCCCACAACTGACTGGCAAAGAAAGGATACCTAATCACAGAAATGCTACAAGTATGGGGAGTGTAGATGCAAAAATTAATTAATTAATTAAAAAATGTCTCCTGGGTAGATTTTTAATAGAAAGTTTGAACACTTAGGGAAAATGATGCCCAGAAAGATTTGGTCAGTAATAGAACATGATAAAAACACTAAAAATTTCTGCATCGACACACCCCCATACCAAAATGTAGTCAGAAGAAAGACAGAGGGAAAACAAGGCAGGTTTAAAAAAGTAATTTGCAAGGCAAGTTAATAGTTCACCCATTCTAAAATCTTCCTTTA